TTTTCTAATTATATGAAATAAAAAGAAAAATTACATACTCGAAGAATAGCTAAAATAATGCTAGATTCACCAGCTTGTACAGCAATTGTACTAATTGTTGTTGTACTTAGTGGATTACCACTGGAACTAAATATTCCACCTAAATCGGATACATTAACGTTCACTTGTGATACAGATCCATCCGTAGCTGATTTGATATTAGCCGAGGCCTTTGTTCGATGAGGGTGGTGGTGTTCTTCCTGTTCGGCCATCGGTTTATAAATTTATTTTCAGTATATTCAATATAAAACGTTCACCACCACCCTTTTAACTAAAGCTTATTGACCTTTGACAGTTGTTCTTTTGTGTGGATACGATAGACTCTTTTGCTATTAATAATAGATGGAACGCGTAAAAGATTTTACCCTTTCTAATTCTGCTAGCCACGATCACCAACCATACATACACAAGGCTTTCGACAACACTGTTCGATAGTGTTATCCTTCTTCTGTCGGGGTTATGTATCAGAAAAAAGAAGAAGAAGAAGAAAAGAAGAAGAACAACAGATCTAGCTAAAAGATAGGTTACATAGTTGGCCGAAAGAAGAGAGAGAGAGATGGATAGACAAGCGAATATCGATAAATGGAATAAACATCATACATTGACTTGCGTATAACCATCGTTTACATCTTACACAGTACCAGTAGTAATAAGAACGATTCGCAAAATGCAAGAAGGTTACCCACTGTTTGTACGACCAATACATGTAATCTATGATAGTCGATTGTTGTATCTATATATGTACTTTTTTTTTATTCATTAGATCATCGATTAAAGAATATTTTTATTTATAAAAAAAATTCTCATCGTAACAAAAGTAAAATAATCACACATACACACACACACACACACACACATATGTATATATATATATAGAAGTACAGGTAAAACATACAATCAGGAGAAATATAGCATTTACTCAAAAATCAAAGAAGAAAAAAAAAACAAACAAACAAGGACATTATGTTCAATTAAATAAAAGTCAATACACCGGTTAGAAGACGTGCGTGTATATGTGTCATTTAAAACAATCGAACTAAGATTGTTCAGATTGAACGAGTAAATGTGTTGTTTCAGCTGCTTCAAGAATCTATAATTAAAACATATAAATAATTCAGATATATATGTATAGTTGAATAAAAATTATTTACTTGTCGAATAGTTATATTTGCATCTTGTTTAGCTTTATTTAATAAATCTATTTGACCATTTAATAAAGCAAGATTATATGAAAAATTATCAATTGCTTTTGTAAATTTTTTTCCACGTAAACCATTCGATTCAAGTAATTTTGGAATGTCTTTACTCATTTCGCATACTTCAGTTTGAACATTAAATAACTATAAATCAATAAAAAATCATTTAATAGTAAATAATTCTTTGTTTTTTTACTTTTTTATGTATCACACTACCATTATCAACTAAAGCACGACATCGATTACTGACCTAAAATATAAGTTTTATTTAGTTTTCTTAAAAATTCTTTTCTTTTGTATGTGTTACATACTTCTTCTAAAGCAATAACACTTTGACGAGATAATTCAGGCAATGTCGTAGAATATTCGAAAATTGGTACCTTGAAAAAAATAGACAAATATGAAAATCCGTTAATGTCATTTCTAAACAAGAACGCAAAGTATTTCCTAATTATCTATTCTTATATACTAATAAAAGATAGTTCTCTTTCTTCTGTTTCAGTTACAATTATTAATAAAGA